AGAACACAGACCTTACAACAAAAAACAAACTACAACAATAAGGAAAATCCAAAAACAAGGCATTTCGTGATTTAAAAAATGCTTATGGCCCGGCCAATGGCCATTTCGTATCGTATAAGTAGGCAAATGGAGTAACACAACAAGTTGTGGCCAAAATACGTATTTGTGGTAATAACGTTAGTAGTTTAGTGTGTCAAGGTTTTTTCTTTTCCAAAAAAAAAAACTAAGGGAAAAAATATTGAAATTGTTTTGGTTTGGAATTTGAAGACACGAACAATGTTGGGGATATGTGGTTGTTAGGTCGGGTCGTTGCTATATATTAGCCTATGGCCAAACAAACACACTCTCATAGTGAACTACCACACAAAATTCCAACTAATCAAGAGCACTGGCCTCAAAAGAAATTGCGGGGAAAACAACAATTACAACAACACGAAGTGGAACTCGCAAAGTGTTACCGGAAATCAAGTGACCTACAAATCTAGAATAAAAACTTCTTTTGAACTTGCTTTGAATTTCCTTTCGAATCACTTCGTTTGGCTGTGAACTCAACAAAAAGGTAATTGAGATTGATTTTGGGTTCATTATTTCCCCGTATTATTTTTCTTTCATTTCATTTCGTTTTGATTTTATTTTAATTTTATTCACACACGAATTGACCAACTAAACCATCAGATTAATGTCCTTAATTATTTCGAAAAGACACACCACCCACACCGAAATACTTATTGTGGTTGTGGTTTGGGGGGGTACAATTAATTATGGCGAACACTTTGTGGCTGCATGTCGAAGTTTTCCATTCTGCAGGATTTTTTTTTCGAGGAAATGCCATTACCAATGCGACTCAATACATGTCGAATAAATGAATAGGAAGCGAAGATAAAGATGAAACAACAAAGATAGTAAAGGCATGAAATCTAAACATTGACAACTGGCAACATAACCAGGACATGTCATGATGCTTAGTTGAGGACAGCAAACTGTCCATGTTGTGTACTCTGACCACATAGTCAACATCATTGGAAAGGCAGAACAGTGGGCAATATACTAGGCGTAGATTTTTTTTGAAGGATTACCAACGGCGTGAATTTTTAAAGAATATTTTTTTCAAGGATTAACACAGGCATGGATTTTTTAAAGAATATTTTTAAAAAGGAAACCAAAAGGCGTGGATTTTTATAACATATTTTTCAAAAGGATAACCAAGAGGCGTGGATTTTTTAAAGAACATTTTTGAAAAAGGATAACCAAGAGGCGTTGATTTTTTAAAGAATATTTTTGAAAAGGATAACCAAGAGGCGTGGATTTTTTAAAGAATATTTTTTTGAAAAGGATAACCAAGAGGCGTGGATTTTTTAAAGAATATTTTTTTGAAAAGGATAACCAAGAGGCGTGGATTTTTATACCCTTCACCACATTGTGGTACAGAGTATTATGTCATTGTGCATATGTTTGTAACAGGCAAAAGGAAACGAGAAAGACCCATAGTTCCTTTTGAGAATATGCATAGAAGCACTTTCTGAGTCGATTTACGAATGTCCGTCTGTCCGTCCGTCTGTCCATGTTAAATTGTAAACAACATACAGGTCGCATTTATGATCCGAATTGGATGAAATTTGGCACAGGTCACTTAATTGGCCCAAGGACGAACCCTATTGAAATTGGAGAAAATCGGTCCACGTTTGGGCATAGCTCCCATATAAGGGTACCCCCAAATTTTCGGTATTTTGAGGTTCAGAGCGCGTTTTTAACTGAATTCGCTGAAATTTGGTACTTCGAGTTCTTATTGGGTAGCAAATCTTCCTACCAAAAATTATAAATAAAGGTCAATTTTTTCGGAGAGCCCCATATAACGGTACCCTCAATTTTCGGTATTTTCGGGTTCTTGGGCTTGTTTTATAACTGAATTCTCTGAAATTTTGTACATTGGGTTCTTATTGGGTACCAAATTAATCCACTAAAAATTATAAATATAGGTCCAGTTTTTCTGGTAGTCCCCATATAACGGTACCCCCAAATTTTTGATTTTGGCGTGGTGGTACAGGGTTTTTTTTGTGCATATGTTTGTAACAGGCAAAAATAATCGAGATAGACACATGGTTCCTTTTGAGAATATGCATAGAATCACTTTCTAAGTCGATTTATGCATGTCCGTTGTATTATCCGAATTGGATGAAATTTGATAACCAAAATTGGGAAAAATCGGCAGTGGATATATATATTAATTTAATGTAATATTTTTTAAAAAGGATAACTGCCAAGTTTCGTGAAAATCCGTCCAGATTTAGATATAGCTCCCATATATAGTTTAGTCCGATTTCATGTAAATGGTGCACTAAAATCCCTATATAACCTTCGATTTGCACGAAATTTGGCATAACGTACTGAATTGAGCCTAGAATTATATCTGCCAAGTTTCGTGAAAATCGGTCCAGTTTAAGATATAGCTCCCATATATAGTTTCGTCCGATTTCATGTAAATGGTGCACCAAAGTCCCTATATATCCTTCGATTTGCACAAAATTTGGCATAACGTACTGAATTGAGCCTAGAGTGATGTCTGCCCAGTTTGGAGAAAATCGATTCATATTTAGATATACCTCCCATATATAGTTTCGTCCAATTTAATGTAAATGGTGCCCCAAAGTCCCTATATATCTTTCGATTTGCACGAAATTTGGCATAACCTACTGAATTAAGCCTAGAAGGTTATGTCTGCCAAGTTTCAAGAAAATCGGTCCAGATTTAGATATAGCTCCCATATATAGTTTCGTCCGATTTCATGTAAATGGTGCCCCAAAGTCCCTTGGCCCAGATTTAGATATAGCTCCCATATACAGTTTCGTCCGATTTCATGTAAATGGTGCACCAAAGTCGCTATATATCTTTCGATTTGCACAAATTTTGCATAAAGTACTGAATTAAGCCTAGAGTGATGTCTGCCAAGTTTCGAGAAAATCGGTCCAGATTTCTATATAGCTCCCATATATAGTTTCGTCCGATTTCATGTAAATGGTGCACCAAAGTCCCTATATATCCTTCGATTTGCACGAGATTTGGCATAACGAACTGAGTTGAGCCTAGAGTGATGTCTGCCAAGTTTCGAGAAAATCGGTCCAGATTTCTATATAGCTCCCATATATAGTTTCGTCCGATTTCATGTAAATGGTGCACCAAAGTCGCTACATATCTTTCGACTTGCACGAAATATGAAAATTGGTCCAGATTTAGATATAGCTCCCTTTTATTATAGATTGATTTTAAGTAATTGACGCACCAAGGAACCAATAGGCTGATAGGAACAAAACTTTCTGAAATTAGAACAACCTAACCTGTGCAAGTTTGTTTCAAATCGCTTAAAATTTGGATAGAGCTTCCATATATATTTTCCCCCGGTTTCAAGTAAATTGGGCATCAAACTGCTCATGTTAGTCGGATTGGCATCAAATTTTGCACAACTTACAAAATTGGGCATAGAATTACGTAGTTGCGTTTTCTAGAAGTACAGACATAGCCCAACGGATGACCTTTTTATATTTGTTTGAAGTTTTTTTTATGGATAGATTTTTCAAGGATTACCAAAGGCGTGGATTTTTTTCATCCAATTTCATGTTAATAGTTTTTCAAGGATACCAAAGGCGTGGATTTTTTAAGGAATAGTTTTTCAAGGATAACCAAAGGCGTGGACTTTTTAAGGAATAGTTTTTCAAGGATTACCAAAGGCGTGGATTTTTTAAGGAATAGTTTTTCAAGGATTACCAAAGGCGTGGATTTTTTAAGGAATAGTTTTTCAAGGATTACCAAAGGCGTGGATTTTTTAAGGAATAGTTTTTCAAGGATTACCAAAGGCGTGGATTTTTTAAGGAATAGTTTTTCAAGGATTACCAAAGGCGTGGATTTTTTAAGGAATAGTTTTTCAAGGATTACCAAAGGCGTGGATTTTTTAAGGAATAGTTTTTCAAGGATTACCAAAGGCGTGGATTTTTTAAGGAATAGTTTTTCAAGGATTACCAAAGGCGTGGATTTTTTAAGGAATAGTTTTTCAAGGATTACCAAAGGCGTGGATTTTTTAAGGAATAGTTTTTCAAGGATTACCAAAGGCGTGGATTTTTTAAGGAATAGTTTTTCAAGGATTACCAAAGGCGTGGATTTTTTAAGGAATAGTTTTTCAAGGATTACCAAAGGCGTAGATTTTTTAAAGCATATTTTTTCAAGGATTACCAAAGGCGTGGATTTTTAAAGCATAGTTTTCAAGGATTACCAAAAGCGTGGATTTTTAAAGAATAGTTTTTTGATTTTTAAAGAATAGTTTTTCAAGGATTACCAAAGGCGTGGATTTTTTAAGGAATAGTTTTTCAAGGATTACCAAAGGCGTAGATTTTTTAAAGCATATTTTTTCTCCACTGTGAATAGCATTCGAAACCAAAAACTTCAATCACTCTGATGCCAAACTACATCAATGTGTGTTTTTCTCTCTCCATGTGTATGTATGAGTGTGAGTGGGTGTATTAGTGTGCAAAAATCTAAATTCAAAGCTGATGAAGGCAATTACATTTATACGTCGTCGCTTGTCAACCGCGTTCATCCATATGGGAGCAGAGCATAGAAACGAATTCAACTGGCATGTAATGCAAATGGAATTGAAAGTGGAAAGCGACAAACAACAACCAGAACCCACACTAACAACAACAAAACTAAAAAAAAAACACCGAAGACTTCATCACAAAATTTGCAAAAATGGAATGGAATAAACGCAGAAAAAAAGGACCAAGTCAACATGTTGTGTGTGGATGTGTTTGTCCTGCCGTGGCAGTGTTAAGATGGAAATGTAACTAAAATGACAGATAATGAATACTGTGTGTCAGAACAAGTGAAAAATGCAGCAACAACAACAAAAAACACCAACTTGACAATTTGTCATTGATTTATCTATCAATATAAATATTTAGAAAAAAAAAATTAAAATAAAAAAATATATTCGAAATAAATAAAAATTCGTTATGTTGGAAAAATCGAATAAAATTTCAGTTATGAAAAAATTAATTGGTTTGGGTGAAACAGAGGTCAAGCAGTCCAACGGCTATATTGTGCCACAAAATTCCACAAATAATTTCTATGAAAAGGCGGGTCTCATTGAAACAAAACCCAAAGAGAACACCACCCTAAATCAACTACAGAAGCCGCCTGCTAACCAGTGTCCTCATTGCGAAAACATGGCCAAGAATTTCCTCTACTTGGAAAGTTTGATACGGACAAATGCCGTGACTCATAACGGTAAATCAAAATGCTCTGTTTGCCATTCATCTCTGTGCTATTTGGAATATGTCAACAAAAGTATTTTGGAAGTTTTTGGTGATTTTGATTCGATTGCAAAGGCGGCAAAGGCATTTGGAAATGATCCCTCAAAAGCCATGAAGAAGATGAAGAGAACTGGTGACGGAGAAAAGAAATTCCCAAACAAAAAGCCATTAATGATGGACAATGTGGGCGATACTGCAAAATGTCTAACAAAGCCTATTTTGGCCAAGAAACAAATGAAGAGGATCATCACTCCCAGTAAACCCAAATCAAATGTGGAAAATTTAGAAAATTCTCAAATTGTCAGTAGTATGTCGGGACATGTGAGACCATCTAAGAAGAAGAGAGTGGGCAAGTTAATGCGCCACAAGCAGAATATAAGGAATTTTAGAAGCAAAGAATCAAGTGTCGCTTTGGGAAAGAAGTCAAATTCTAGTAAACGGAAATTATTTGTAAAAAAGCTAAAATCTGTAAAGTAAAATATTTTAACAGTTAGAAATGAATGGGGTATGAAAAAATAAAGTTGATGGAGTATGAAAAAATAAAGTTGATACAACAAAGAATCTTACCTTAAGGTTTTCAGCTTTGCTCAGAGGGAAAGGTTCAGACAGCAACATATAAATGATCTGAAAGAAAATAATATATTAGAATATAATGAAATGAATAAATATAAAATTTCGGATAGGACTGACTTTATGATACTATATGATGTGCATATAAAATACGCTCATGGAATTTTAAATCGGATTAAATAACGTTAAACAATATTTCAATCAGAATAAATTTATAAGCCTATTTAATCACCCACCTGTTTTTACCCCATATAAAAAACCAGTAAGGAAAGTAGTAAAGTCGGACGGGCCGACTATATGATACCCTTCACCACTATGGGTATATTAAACAGGACTATAACATAAAATTTGATGAAAAAAAATGTGATACTTATCTAAATGTGAATCTACCTAGATCTATCCATAAAGAATGTCAATCGACTTCAAACAAATATAAATAGGTCATCCGTTGGGCTATGTCTGCACTTCCAGAAAACGCAACTACGTAATTCTATGCTCAAGTTTGTAAGTTGTGCAAAATTTGATGTCAATCTGACTAACATGAGGAGTTTGATGCCCAATTTACTTGAAATCGGGCGAAAATATATATGGAAGCTCTATCCAAATATTGAGCGATTTCAAACAAACTTGTCACAGGTTAGGTTATACTAATTTCAGAACATTTTGTTCCTATTGGCTCCTTAGTACGTCAATTACTTAAAATCAATCTATAATAAAAGGGAGCTATATCACGAAACTTGGCAGACATCATTCTAGACTCAATTCAGTACGTTATGCCAAAATTCGTGCAACTCGAAAGATATTTAGCGACTTTGGTGGACCATTTACATCAAATCGGACGAAACTATATGTGGGAGCTATAACTAAATCTGGACCGATTTTCTCAAAACTTGGCAGACATCACTCTAGGCTTAATTCAGTACGTAATGCCAAATTTCGTGCAAATCAAAAGATATATAGGAAGTTTGGGCACAACTATATATGGGAGCTATATCTAAATCTGGACCGATTTTCACGAAACTTGGCAGACATCATTCTAGACCTAAATTATTAGGCTGTACCAAATTTCGTGCAAATCGAAAGATACATAGGGACTTTGGGGCACCATTTACATGAAATCGGACGAAACTATATATGGGAGCTATATCTAAATCTGGACCGATTTTCTCCAAACTTTGCATACATCACTCTAGGCTTAATACAACACGTTATACCAAATTTCGTGCAAATCAAAAGATATATAGGGACTTAGGGGCACCATTTACATGAAATCGGACGAAACTATATATGGGAGCTATATCTAAATCTGGACCGATTTTTCCGAAACTTTGCAGACATCATACTAGACCTAAATGATTAGGCTGTACCAAATTTCGTGCAGATCGAAAGATATATAGGGACCGTTTACATTAAATCGGTTAAATATATATATGGGAGCTATATCTAAATCTGAACCGATTTTTCCCAATTTCAATAGGGTTCGTCCTAGGGCCAAAGAAGTGACCTATGCCAAATTTCATCCAATTCGGATCATAAATGCGACCTGTACTTTGTTTACAATTTAACATGAACAGACAGACAGACGGACGGACGGACATCGACTTAGAAAGTGATTCTATGCATATTCTCAAAAGGAACCATGTGTCTATCTCGTTTCCTTTTGCCTGTTACAAACATATGCACAAAGACATAATACCCTGTACCACAGTGTGGTGAAGGGTATAATTATCCCTACGATCATTTTGTATTAATAATATGAGAGTCCGCGTTGAAAACGGCAATTGTCGGTCCATAGCTTGAAATAGTTCCCACATAAGGACAGCTTCATTAGTGATAATTTTCATGGGTTTGGTCATTCTTTTACACAGAATTGTTTGAATAGACAATATAGATTGTCGAAGTTTCGAAACAAATTTTTGATTTTTTAAAAAATGTTTCAAAATTTGTATACCCTACACAACCATATTGTCAGCAAATTATAGCATTGTGCAACTTCGAGAGTTTGAAACGCCGCGAAATATTGGTCCTATGACTAAAGGTGAGTCTACCTTTAGTCATATCTCGACCAGCAGAGTCGATCTAGACATGTGTGTCTGGCCGTCCGATACAGGCCTCAGTTATGGATCAAACGTCACGAAATTTTGCATGTATGATGGGTTCTGGCCAAAGAAGACCCCTATTGTGTTTGGTAATGATCCGTTAATATGTAGGGGAACTTTAATTTTGCCCTTTTTGTCTGGTCGCTCTAGAGACCACAATTATGACCCGAACACTACGAAGTGTTACACCAGGTAGGGAATCTGGCTAAAGAATAAACATGACTGTTTTAATGAAGATCTATCCATATTTATTTGGTGAAATGAAACCAGACTTTTGTGTGAAAAATTACTAAATTTGTATTCTATGGCGTATATATTTACTACAGAAGGACATAATATATCCTACTGGAGTTGCTGGCCTTGAAATTGAGACCATTTATATTGTTGTATGTAATCGGATGTGGGAGTTATACGTTCCGTGATGTTGATGTGATATTTAGAAGGAACAATGAATAGAAAACTTTATATTCTAGTCGCTCTAGAGATCATTATTACATGCAGAACATAACATATTTTATACGGTGAAGGGGATCCGAGGGTCAAATCAACCAAAATCTAAAGTGACCAAATTTTTATGTTATGGCGTAAATATTCGGCCCGTCCGACTATACTTTTCCGATCACTGGTCTTTTAATATTTGTTAGGGTTTTTAGGAAAGTATACATTTTTTTAGATTTGTATACCACTCTGTGGTACAGGGTATTACATCTTTGTGCATATGTTTGTAAGAGGCAAAAGGAATCGAGATAGACCCAAGGTTCGTTTTAAGAATATGCATATAATCACTTTCTGAGTCGATTTATGTCCTTCCGTCCGTCAGTCTGTTGATGTTAAATTGTAAACAAAGTACAGGTCGCAGTTATAATCCGATTTGGATGAAATTTGGTACAGCTCATTTATTTCGTCCAAGAAAAACCCCTATTGAAATTAGAGGATATTGGTTCAGATTTAGATATAGCTCCGATATATATTTTTGTCCGATTTTATGTTAATGGAGCACAAAAGACCCAATATATCCTTCGATTTACACGAAATTTGGCATAGTGTAATGAACTAAGTCTAGAATGATGTGTGCTAAGTTTCGTGAAAATCGGTTCAAATTTATATAGCTCCTATTTGTGTCAAGTTTTGTTGGAATCGGTTCAGCTTTAGATATAGCTCCCATATGTACTTTCGTCCGATTTTAAGTAAATGGTGCACCAAGACCTAAAATAAGGCCATAGGCACAAAACATACTGATGTTAGTATAACCTAACCTGTACCAAGTTTCCTTGAAATCGATTCAAAATTTGGATGTAGCTTTCAAATATATTTTCGTTCCATTTTAAGTAAATTGTGAACCAAACTCCTCATGTTTTTAAAATTGATCCACAATTTTGCACAACGTACAAAATAGAGCATAGAATGACGTAATTGCGTTTTGTAGAAATGCAGACATAGCGCATATATATGGTTTCGACAGAATTCATGTTAATAGGGCCCCAAATAATCAACGGGTGTCAGATTCAGATTTGCTTTGTTATATTGTCCCATTCTAAATAAATGACTCAATATCTGTCGAAATGACAAAATTGGGATAGGTTGCAGAATGACATGTTTATGGATTGGTTCATTCATCCAATTTCATGTTAATGGTTCCTCCAAAATGCGATGTCTGTTAGGATGCATCTGTTGAATATATCCCAAGTGGTGAAGGGTATCATAATGTCGGCCCTGTCCGACTTTACTACTTTCCTTTCTTGTTTAGGTCCCCGACTGTACTGCTCCGGTCACTAAATTTTAAATCTTTTTTAGGGTTTCTAGGAAGGCGTAATTTTTTTAAAATCTTTTTAGGGTCTCTAGGAAAGCGTAGATATTTTTTAAAGGTTTTTGCTCTATATAACGAAATCATTGAATTTGTTTTAAAGGGTTTTCCAATAAAAGTTTGACAGTTTTTATACCCTACACAACTATGTTGTCATGGTATTACAGCACTGTGCAGCCCCAAGAGTTTGTAACACCGCGAAATATTGGTCCTAGACCAACCTTTAAGTATACCGATCGTCATATCTCGACTAGCTGAGTCGATCTATACATGTGTGTCCGTCCGTCCGTCTGTCCGTCTGTCCATTATAATTTGTAAACACTATACAGGCCACAGTTATGCACCAATCTTCACGAAATTTTGCATGTAGGAAGGGTTTTGGCCAATGAAGACTCCTATTGTTTTTGGTAAAGATCGGTTAATATTTAGGGGATGAAATGGACCAAATACTTAATTTTTGTCGGTTTTTCTGGTCGCTCCAGAGGCCGCAATTATGGCCCAAAAATAAATATTTGCATGGAGAAGGGGATCGGGCCAAAGAATAAGCATGCATGTTTTGATAAAGATCGGTCAATATTTAGCGGGTCAAATGTGTGTTTTGTGTGAAAAATTACAAAATTTGTATTCTATAGAGTATATATTTACTCCTGAAGGACATAGACCCAAGAAGTTGATAGTATATCCAAGAGGAGTGGTTCACCTTTAAATTGATACCAAATATATGGTCGTATGTACTCGGATGTGGGAGTTACACGTAAATATTTTCTGGAGCTTACGTATTCATATATTATTTAATAACATATTGCCACAATAGAGGGGGGAAATATAGCGCTCATCGCTTTGAAAAT